AAGGAGCAGCAGACCAGCACCAGGTGTGTTCCCGAGGGGGCTGAGCTGGCACAGGAGCCCTGAGCAGCAAGGGCCAGGCCTCAGGGTGCTGAGCTCGAGGAGGGAGCAGGTGGTCTTGGGTAGCTGTGGGCAAACCACTGGCTCTCAGAGTCTCCCTCAGAGAAAGGGGAGAAAGTCCCTCAGGACTGTGCTGAGTGTGGGCTCAGTCACACGCAGCAATGACATGCAGTTACTGTCCCTGAGCCAGAGGCCTGGCCCAGCCCCTCAGGAGAGGAGAGAGCCTGGCAGGAAGTGAGCCCTTGCCCTGGCGTTGGAGGCAGAGGTGGGCAACCTGGAGGGGTCAGGAGAGGCTGGGGAGGCTGGGAGACTTCCTGGAGGAGGTGGGGGTGAGAAGCAGATGCTCCCCTCTGACCTCAGAAGTGCCTTTTAGAGGGCTTCCATTTGGGGACCAAGGGGGTGAGACATTGTGTTTTCAGGAAACATCTATGTTCTGGGATGCTGTGGTCCCCAACAGGCACAGCTCTCTCCCATCCCAGAACTGCTGGTCAGCCCTGGGTCAGGCCCAGGACATTGCTACCTTCTTTCCCAGCTTCTTCCAGATCTGGTGCAGTTCCTCTGCCCAGGCGCGCAGCTTGGAATCTGAGATCTTCTGCAGGAACTGGGGGCTGGAAGAGTGCCCCGTAGGGTTCAGGAAGGGAGCCCAGTCAGAAGGGCCTTCTCCTGTCCTCTGTCCAGGTTGTACCTCTCTTTCCAGTCCTCAGGGGTCCAGGGCAGCAGCTCCTGCCCCACAGGCTGGAAGTATTGCTGGACGAACTCCTGCAGCTGCTGCTTGGGGATGCCATGGTTGTGGGCCGCGGCCAGAGCGCTGAAACTCTGCAGGACTTGGTCTGGAGAGCAGGTGGCAGGGAGGGATCAGCAGTGTCCCTGAGCTGTGTGATCAGATACCTGCCTGCCCTCACCCCCGCCATCTTTGAGTAAAGGTTCAGGAGGTGAGGTGGCCTCACGTGGTGCTGCGGACAGTGACATGTCTACAAACTGCTTGTCGTCAGGGTAGAGCTTGGCCATCTGAACCTGATGCAGGAGCTCCCCATGGCAGTAAATCTGGCTGCAGAGACAGTGGGGGAAAGCAGGTCAGGAGGGATGAGATTCTGGGCATGTTCTCTGAGGCTGTGTGCGTGTGTGGTGGGGGGGCACGTCTGTGCTGTGGTGCCAGTTTTGGGGTGGTAGTGACACACAGAGCCGAGAAGGAGCAGAGTGTTTGTATGGAAAAATTACCTGAGCCCACACTGGCTGATCTTTTGACACAGCACAAAACACCTGGTGGACGGAAGGAACTTAGCACTCTAATCAGTGACATGGAGGGTTGGCAAGGACCAACTGAACGGTAGCCTTGTGTGGAAGGGATTATGGCAAAAGTCTGTGAGTTGTACCAAGCAGTGATTGCTGAGATCTTCAACCAGAACATTTGTAGATGTAGCGGTAAAAGAGATGCCATTTGAGAAGGAATCACTAGCTTACTCTTGAGTGCTCAGTGAAATAGCTCCATGACTATGGGACACAAAATGATCCTGACACTCCAAATACCTCTGATGCTTGGCGATGCTCAAGTTCCACTCTGATAAAGAAGGCAGTGCCAGGGGGCTCCTCCATGCAGCGGCAACGGCTCCCTTGGGAGTATACTGCATGCGGGGCAAGGCAGTGCCCCTTATGTCCGTGGCAGGCAGCCCTTTCCCCTCAGGACTGACTTGGGAAGCCCCAAGGGCCGATAAGCCGCCTGGGAGCAGCTCTACAAACTGACCAGTGAAAAGCTGCTGGGTTCAGGGGTGGATATGGTATATTATTTCAAAGGTTTTCACTGCTGGTGGGGATTCTTTGAAGAAGGTAGGAAAAATCAGTCAAAGGGACTGACCTTAACTATTTTATTTTATTTTTTTTTGGTACCGGGGTTTGAACTCGGGTCCTTGCGCTTTCGAGGCAGGCACCGGAACCACTGAGCTAAATCCCCAGCCCTAGACCTTAACTATTAAAGGGACTCTTGTTTGAGGCATAATTGTATGAAAAGCACTACAGATGCTTGGGGGAGGCATTAAAGTAGCTGTGCATAGCTGGGTGTAGAGGCAAATGCTAAAAATTCTTTTTTGGGGGGTACTGGGGATCAAACTCGGGTCCTTGCACTTGTGAGGCAGACGAGGTGGGTGCCACTGAGCTAAATCTCTGGCCCAAAATGCTCAAAATTCTGTAAAATGCTACCTTGGAATGGATGGTACTGTAACTGTGTGGACTGCTGGGCTACTTTTCCTCAGATCAAGAAACACAGTGTACAAGAATGGGTCAAAGGGCCTGGGGATTTAGCTTAGTGGCATTGGTGCCTGCCTCGAAAGTGCAAGGTCCTAAATTCAATCCCCTGTACCAAAAAAAAGAATGGGTCAAGGGAGATCTCATCTAATGGACATGTTATGTTGTGAGAATGCTTCAGAGGAGTGGCAAGCTGGGTGTGGTGGCACACACCTGTAATCCTAGCACTAGGGAGGTTGAGGCAGAAGGACTGCTGTGAATTTGAGGCCAGCCTGGGCTACATAGTGAGACCGTCTCAAAAAAAAAAAAGAGTGGGACAACTGATTCAAACACTGGTTATCTGAAATGGGGGCGACTAAGGCAGGAAAGACTGGCTTACACACCTTCACAAGAGTGTGTTCACACTCAACATGAGGGGGCAAAGGAAAGGTCCCCCTGCATGGATTCCTCTATTATGTGAGCTGACCTGGGCCAGGGTGGGGAGGCACTAGTGTGACTGGACAGTTTCCCCATCATTCAGATACTTTTTTCCTACCTGGCACAGTGGTCCCAGGACCAGAACCTTTTGTGAGTGTCAGAAGCAGGGATGGGTCCCAAGAAAAAAATTCCAACTGTACCCTGAAACCTCTCTGCAAGAATTCTGAAGGGTCCGATGGGGTGGGCTCAGCCCATCTTGCTATCTGGGGCCATCAGGGAAGGCAGCTTCATGGCCTGGAGCTTGAGATGGCCCAGTAATTCTGCCCCTTTGCACCCCCATCCCATTTGAAGTGGCCGAGAGGGGGGACTTGCTAGACTCACATTGCTACCAGTGATCTGGACCAGCACAGTGGCCGAACCTAATGTTCCTTCCAAAGGTGGAAAAGCTTGGTAAAAATCAGTGGCAAGTGGAGAGGAGGAGGAATAGTAGCTGAGGGTAAAGAAATAAGCACATAGGTTATTTGTTTTTGGTACTGGGGATCGAACTAAGAACCTTTCGCTTATGAGGCTGGCGCCAGAACCACTGAGCTAAATCCCCTGCCCGGAAATAAACACATGGATTGTGTTTGTGAGGAAAATCCAACATAACATTGGTGCCTGGAGAGATGTGGAACAAGAGAATGGTACTGTCCCATAGCACGATGACACCACATGCCTGGAAGGGGAGAGCCAGGCATTGGCCAAGAACAACTTCAATACACAACAATAAACAACGTATAGAGTGGATTAAACAACACTGATTGAGTCTCATCTCTTCTTGTTCAGAGTAGCAGCCTCCAAAGAGCACGCTGCACAGCTCGGAGCTGCATCCACAGTGAGCTGCTCTGTGGGCCCATGGAGAGCTGTTTGTAGGCCACTGTCCAGGTGGCAATGGAAGCGAGCAGCTCCTCGAGTGGTTCCAAAGTCAGCCTTAGGGGAAAAGAGTGCACCTGCTCTTGCACACAGGAACTCTGTGTCCCCAACAGCCTGTTCCTACATCACCCATGCATGTTTATCATGGCCACTGCCTTAACCCTGAGAGCATTTCTCCATCATCACCCAAGGTGTTATAGATATTTCAGGTTTTAAGGTTATCTCGTGTTCTTCAGTTTTAGGAGCAATTTCTAATAATGTCTGGTAGGAAGCTAATAATTACCCGTCAACTGGAAATTCTCTAGTCCAAAGTCTTGGCAGTCATGCTGGGAGGTGCTCCAAGCCCACTCTGCTCCACAAAAGGTGCACATGGGCCCAGGGATCTCATCAGTCCCCACTTGGAAGGTGCAGTGATCCCCACCTGATTGCCATGTGAGTGTCACACGCTTCTGCTGCACAGCACTGCGTGGTGGAAATGCTCTCCAGTCAGATGTGGTATTCATTCCCATAGTACAATCAAGTAAAAGGGATGCAACACTTCATATAAAATCTTTCAAATGGGCTGAGAGTGTAGCTGAGCGGCAGGGCTTTCATTTAGCACAAGGTCTTGGGTTTGATCCCCAGCACCAGTACATAAATAAAACCTGTTCAAATGCACACATTTTCATCCAGACTTTCACCTAAATCCCATCACCTTAAATTCCTCCCTGTGGCCCCCATTAGAGCAACACCAGTAGGTTTTTCTTTCATGATGCTCAGGAGGTGGACCATTCCCCAAGCAAACTTTGTTTCCATTTCCATGAGATATTTGGGTGAGGGAGAGACAACCAGTTCCCAAAGAGCCAGTTTAAATGGTCCATTTTCATTGGAACTTCCACTTTGACTCCATAATCCTTAGATTCTTACATTCTCACTAGGGCTATAGCACCCATGAGGGCCTTCACTGTCGGCTTTGGTCTGCCAGGGGCTGGAGCCTGTAGCTTCACTGAGTAGAGTTTAAGCATGGGCTGTCTCTTCCTCACATCTTAGCTGTTATAGACGATAATTACAGGCATTGTTTCCTTTGCTTTTTTCTTACTAGTCTGTATTGCCTTATGCATATCGAGTCCCCTTCCCGGGAACTGGGCTCACCATCTCTAAATCCCACTAATAAGGAACTGTGATGTCCAGTTAACTGAATGCTGAGCAACTGCTCCTCAATATCCCAAGGGGCCTGTAACCACCTGGGAAATAAAATTTCCTTACCCTGAGACTTTTCATCCTTTTTTTCTCCCAAACCACATGTTTCAAAGAATCGGCGTCATTCTATGAATCATACATTTTTAGACACCAACTTCCATTTAATTCTGGGCCTCCCATCTGGAGTTAGTGCAGACCCCCACACAGTGAAGAGCTCTGTCTCCAGAGATTGCCCCTGGTTACAAGTTCACGGGTCCCTGCTCCAACCACACTCCTGACCAACTGGCTATAAATGTGGGGGGCCCCAGGAGCCCTCAGATCCAATGATTTGCCAGAACAACTCAGACCACTCAGGAAAGCACTATACCTACTATTACAATTGTATTTGAAGGATTTATAGGGTGAGGTTGGGAGACCCTGGGCTTTGGGGCTCCTCCTGTGGAATCACCATGTTCAACCTCCTGGCTCCTGGCTCATCTATGTTCTCCTCATCCAGGAAGCTCCACCTATCTTTGTTTTTTTATTACTTTTTTATTTTGCAGAAAATAAATTATACAACTTAAAAATTAAATCCAAAAATTAAGCAGTTCATCAAAATATTTCAGCCTACTGCATACAGAAACTGTTACCATTCAGAATTGTATAGCATTATCATCTCAGTATGTAGTGGCACACATTCAAAGATCGAATAGACCATGTGAGGATTAGCTTTGGAGTTCAGAAGGGTTTTTTTTGGTACTGGGGATCGAACTCAGGTCATTGCGCTTTTGAGGCAGGCAGCAGAACCACTGAGCTAAATCCCCGGCCCAGAAGGTGTTTTTTGTTGTTGTTTGTTTGCTTTGATTTATTTTTGTGATATTGGGGTTTGAACCTATGGGTGTGCACATAGTAGGCAAGTGCTTTACCTCTGAGCAACACCTCTGACTCTTATTTTTTTTTAATTTTGAGACAGGGTCTTACCAAGTTATCTAAGCTGGCCTTGAACTTGAAATTCTCCTGCCTTAGCTCCCCTAAGTAGCTGAGATTATAGCTATGTGCCTCCATGCTTGGCTTAGTCCAGAGTTTTTATTGGGTTTCATCACATAGGTATTATTGATTGAATCACTGGTTGCGTGATTGAATTCAATCTCCAGCCACCCTCCCCTTCACCGATACTGTAGCTCAAAGCCCCAATCTTTAAACACAATGTCCATGTTTCTGGCACAGCCTACCCCATCCTGAGTGATATCCTAAGCAGAAGCTACCAAGGGACCCACCCTAAGCCATCTCATTGGCAGAAACTATCAGG